AACAAAGAGAGCTATCAAATTTTACGAGCGCATTTTAAAAAAGTTGGTTTATTTGCGGCTACAATGTTATGGGAGTTTAATATGAAGGCTAAAAATGCAATAATATTTACTCTTTTTTAAAAGAAAAATTACCCATCTGATTAGCAAAATCATGTCAATTAGATTTTGCATATAAATTGACACTGATTTTTATCTTCGTTTTGATTCAGTTAGCACCAAAATCATAATTTTTTAGATCCTTAAAGCTGAAGGTGAATTTTTGTCATAAAAAGCCCTGTTGCATTTGCGTTTAGCTCAGTGGTTTAGCGAAATGACTGGACCGGATACGGAACGTTTAAACACTTTTACAGGTTTTTTATGGTTGTTTCCTGCCACACTCTCCAAATTTACAAGACAACAATTTGCGAAATTTAAGTTGAGCTTAAGGCTAAGCTAAGATTTTTCCCACGCACATGGTTAAATTAATTGTTGTGGATCCTTTTTTTAATCCGTTTCGTCAGTATTTATTTATTTGGGACGGTTGTAGGTTTGATTCTTATTCCAATCAAGGTTATGTTAACCTACTAAAATTAATAACTTTTCGGACAATTAGCTCGTCCCAAATATTTTCGATATTTGCAAAAATAAATTGTGAAAATGAACCTTTCAATTTAGACATGCAACTATAAATAGGGAGCGGAAGCTACTTTTTTGTCTACAATAGAGATCAGGTAACAAAAACATGTCTTCGTCAAGACGATTTATTCTAGATCTGTATGGTTTTTTCGTACAATCGTTCTGTTTGTAAGACGATTCCTGGCCAGATAGCGTGCCGCTTTAGTACAGGTCCGCGACAATTTGGCCCCAATCACAAATATGAAAACAGCCACAGCTGGCTTATCTGTCGCTAATGATTAAGAATGGGGTCACTCACTGGGGTGTCCACCTCCTAGTCCACTCCTTGTCGAGAGAGTTATCTGAAATCGCCCTAGCTGTACAGTCACGGCCAAATTGGAGAGGACACCTCCACGTCCATACGTCACTATGTTTCCTCCAGAAACCGGGTTAATCTCCTGACCTAAACCAGTAAACGTATTCTCTGTTACATTCGGTTGCCACCACCGGTCGGTCAACAACCAGGACACCCCTTTCACGGCTTTCGCGAACTTGCTATGTCATGGGTTAAAAGCGCCCCACCTGAGTACGTCCTCAGTGCCCAGGTTCATACCATAGTATCTGCCGGAGATTTTACGCGTTAACACTGCTCTCGTGGCCAGGTTCACCCTAACCTTATCAACACCCAACTCTTTGCTCTTATCACTCAACCCCAGTCCGGCCCTATCAGACCATCACAACACAGCTGAGCCTTCATGCCCATCGTTACTTTACACTGACTCTCACGGGCTCTGACTAACTGCCCTCAAAATCCACCCTCGGCATCTGAGATATGTGTTTTAAGTGGGGATTAATAAATTAAAACTGATTGATTTGGGGTTGTTTTCCGCCTCTTGAACATGTGAAGTTTATCATTAGGAGGCTGATTGATAACGCATGTTTCGACTTTATTACATATTGAAGTCATCTTCAGGTTTTTACAAGCTAGTAACATGGATTTTTAAAAAACATTAATTACAATGATTAAAATAATTAAAAAGCCCAAGTATTCTACAAAAAAAATCTTCTTTAGAAATTCCACTAATTTCTTGAATTTTGATAGCTTAATGCCATTATTTAAGTGTAGATTGTCTTCCCTTCGATTGTCTTCCCTTCGATTGTCTTGGAATTAAAGACTGACAACCCGTGTCATATATGTCTATATCTAGATCTTTATTGGAATCGCCTTCGTCAGCCTATAGATAAACTGGGATTTATCAACTTGCTGTTGACGTTGAAGTTTCCGTTGCAGTTGCTGTTCAAGTAACTTTTGGCGTATTTAAAGGGGTTGTAGAAGAAAAGTGAAGGATTTAAGTTGATTACTACAAAAATTTACCATTACACATTACTATAAAACATTTACATGTTTTAAGTGTCTTGCTGTCGAAATAAGTCTACACATATTAATAAAAAAAGGCAAAATGTAGCCCCGCCCACCCACCCGATCTCAATTGTGATGATTTTTTTTTATTCGTCGTGAGCTAAGAAGCCGAAGCTTAACTGCAAAATCCTTATTTCTCTACGAGAAATTAAAAACATGTTTTTGAATATCGTCTTGTTCAAAGAATACTATGTACATTAAGAAAAAAATAAAGCCAAAGATCAGGCCCCACCCATACCCGCCTCGCTCTCAATTCTCTATTGTGATGAATTTTTCATTCGTTGTCAGATCGAGGGGCGGGGCTTAATAGCAAGATCTATATTTGTCTAGAACAATTTACCATTTTAAACATGTTTTAAGTTAAAGTTTCTTGTTCTGAAAAGACAACTACGTATATTAAGAAAAAAGGCAAAATATAAGCCCCCCCTACCCGCCCTATCTCTATTGTAATGAGTGTGAACATGTAAGACATGTTTTTGAGTATCGTGTTATTTAAAGAATACTACATATGTGTATTAAGAAAAAATTAAAGCCAAAGATTAAGCTCCACACATACCTGTCCTGGTCTAAATAGTAGTGAAGTTTTCATTGGTTGGCAGACCTAGGGACGGAGCCTAATTGCAAAATCCATATTTCCTTACAAAAATTTACCATTTTAAACGTGTTTTAAGTTTCTAAGAATAAAAAAATCATCACAATTTAGATGGTGTGTGTGGGGGGGGGGTTTATATTTTGCCTTTTTTTCCTAAACGTACATAATATTCTTTGAACAACACGATACTTAGAAACATGTTTTTAATTTCTTGGAAAGAAATAAGTATTTTGCAGTTAAGCTCCCCTTTGGTTCACGGCGAATAAAAAAATCATCACAATTAAGATAGGGTGGGTGGGCGGGCTTACATTTTGCGTTTTTGTTTTAATATGTGTAGACTTCTTTTCACAACATGAAACTTAAAACATGTTTAAAATGGAACATTTGTATGAGGAAATATCGATTTAGCAATTAGCCTCCATCCCATAATTATAATTGTAAAATCCATATTTCCCTGCAACAATGTACCATTTTAACAAGATTCTAAGTTTCTTGTTGTGAAAAGATGGCTATGTATATTACGAAAAAAGGGCAAAATATAAGCCCCACCCACCCGCCCTATCTCAATTCTGATGATTTTTTTTTATTCATCGTAAGACGAGGAGCAGAGCGTAATTGCAAAATATGTATATTAAGAAAAAAACATACCAAAAATTAAGCCCCACCCATATCCATTCCAAAAGCTCAATTGTGATGAATTTTTCATTCGTTGTCAGATCGAAGGGCGGAGCCTAAATGCAAAATCGATACTTTTCTTAAAAAAATTACCATTTTAAGCATATTTTACCTTTCTTGACAACATAAATTCAAGGGATTTTAGATAACAGAAACCATTTAGTACTATGAAAATGTTCTTGTCAAGAGTATTAGTTTAATTTACTCTGATTTTTTTTATTATTTGATTTCTATTCCCCAAAAAAGACGTGGAGCTACCCAAATACATGTAAATTGTTAGTACAATGTAATAAATATGTCCGTATTTATTCATCTTTCGTCTGCCTGCCCTATGCTCCTACTTTCACCGTCAATTTCTACAATTTCTAAACTCCTTTTCTTTACCTGCTTCCATCTCTCCAAAACCGAACCCAGCTATGGACAAATTCAAACACCCTTCCTTCTTCTTCCTCGAGCCTTCGAACAGTAAAGTTCTAATAAAATCTCTAAACTCTTACCGTCGCTATTTACCACATTGGTGATCATCGACAGGGAGGACGCACGCAACGACCGCGCTGTGTCGCTGGGGGAGTACTGTGGCGGCACAATTACAAGTTGGTAAGCGAGGAAAGATAAGCAGCCCGGCAAGTGGGAAACGTAGGGTTCGATTCCCACTGCGGCTCTACATTTTTCCTTGCTTACCACACTATAAATGAGATTATACGAAAAATTTAATACTCCACATGGTTGTTAAGTGCGTAACAAAATCTCGATTTTGTTATAATGCACTTACCAATGTCACAGCGTCGTTCCATACGAAAACACCAAACCTGTATAAACAAATCTGTATAAACGATCCCATAGCGTAATAAACAACTAAAAAACATTAATTTTCTAAATTCATTATTTTTCATAAACAGTTCTTTTGGTTTGATTTGTAAACTCGGAATTACCAACGTCTGTTGTTGTCATGAATCGCATACGTTCTTTCACGTGTTTTTATCACTCTAACCTACCGTTTTTCATGCTCGATATTTTTAGAGCAAATTATGAACACGTCCTATCAGTTCAATACTATGTAATTTGTACAGTACAATTTTATCAGGAGTAGTGTTTACCACATTCATACACACATGATAAAGGCAATTTTATAACCTGATTGATTTGTGATAATAATAATTGTTGAGTAGGCTTTCTTTTTTTCCGTAACCAAGGTTGTTTAACATTTTCTGTTTGATTACCTATCTCGCATTTTTCTTGTGATATTTGAAAATCCTTATGAAATTAGATTGCAGAATACGGTTAGTTAGCGTCTTGCGAAATATCGTTGCGCATCAGAAATGTAATTTTGATTGTTCATGTTCACTGGTGTAAGGGTAGACGGATTAAAACTGTGTATACGTAACCATAAATATTTTACTTACAGCAAATGTAATAGAAGGGAAATTAACGAAAATAACTTTAACCAGTGCAAATAATGTGAAACAAAAGCAACTTTTACTTTTAGTTACGGTGTCGTTCAGTTTGAATGTTCTCTGTGCTAACTAATACGTAAACGATGCTTACCTTCATTGTCAGTTTTACATATTATTGAACTTGAACCTGTCACACCCTTTTTCACTGATCTCTACGAAGTGATACAACTATAATATTGTTAGCAATCAGTTCAAGAATTTGAATTTGGCGCCTTGGTGGAAGTGGTGATACTGCGAGCCGCTGCCTGTCCACGTCGCTAGAGTGTGACTCACTCGAGAATGCGCGCTGGCCTGGGATTCACCTGCCGCTCAACTATTTCGCTAATGTTTTGTTTTTTTGTTATTTTTGTGAAAATATATCGCTTAAATCAGAAGTGGGATTGTGCCCCGTTTCCCAGTGCTTCTTTTTGTTTTTTTTTGTGAAAATTTTGGATTGCGTAATTATTGTGCAACAAGAGACAATTTATTGGGATAAGTGCTCGTGACCATCTCCCATCTTCGCTATGGAGGAAGTTCTGTCAGAACTGTTGACAACGATCAGAAGCAGCCGGATAGCCCCGGACCAGATCAATCTTCCGCCCTTTCGGCCAGACGTCGATGACGCAACCAGCTGGCTCCAACAGGCGGACGCTACCAAAGTCGAATTTTCTTGGTCGGATTTACAAATCCTAGGGAGAATTGGAAGTTTTTTGACGGGTGAGTCTAAACTTTGGTTTGACAATTGGGTGCCGCCCCCGACCACGCGTAATTGGACGACCTTCAAGCAAGACTTTTTGGAGTCCTTTCCGCCGAAGAAAATTTTGGGACGCCTGTTACATGAGGCGTCGGCCTGTCGAAGTTCCGACTTTAATACGTATACAGCGTACGTTCGCCAAAAAGTGACATTGCTCCGGCATTTGCGCAAAATTATCGACGAGCTTCTAAGTCATGGAATAATTCGAACAAGTACTTCCCCGTTCGCCAGTCCTATACTGTTAGTTAAAAAGAAGCAGGGTTCTTATCGTATGTGTGTAGATTTCCGTGAGTTGAACGCACATACTGTTAAGGATAAGTATCCTATGCCGCGAATTGACGACCAGCTTGATAGACTCGGGCGTGGAAAATTTTTTACGTCTTTAGACTTAGCTTCTGGGTTTCACCAGATACCGATCCATGACAATTCGATTCACAAAACGGGGTTTGTTACGCCCGAAGGCCACTTCGAATACTTGCGTATGCCCTTCGGTCTTGCGAACGCCCCCGCTGTCTTTCAGAGGGCGATCAATGCTGCTTTAGGAGATTTAAAATATACGATGGCTCTTGTCTATATGGACGACATTTTAATTTTGCAGACTTGATTGTGCATTTCGAATCCGTCCCTAAACCGGCAAAAAGACTTTCGAAAAAGAAACGTAGTTGTTTTAATTGTGGACGCACAGGCCACCTGCAAAATCAGTGTCGTCAGCTGTTCCGGTCGTTAAATGATCGTGGTCGAAAATTTCCGAGTGCATCGTCGAGTACGTCGAGTAAAGCAACACCACCGAAATATGATCGCGACGACGCCGGCTTCACTTCAAAGAAATGTGCGTTCTGCTTGAAGCCAGGCCACTTAGAATCCGACTGTTTCACAAAGAAATCTATCGAACAAAAGTTGCCTCACCCACCGACGTCAAGCAAGTACGTCAATTCATGGGCCTCGCAGGTTATTTCCGCAAATTCATTCCAAATTTTGCTTGTCGCACTGCATGCATAACTAATCTGACCAAAAGCGGTGTTCTGTTCCAGTGGACCGCTGAACACGAACGCGCCAAAGAATATGTTATCAACTGTCTCGTGTCGGAGCCTCTATTGACAATTTTTAACCCCGATCTACCTACTGAACTTCATACGGACGCTAGCTCCGTCGGGTACGGTGGAATTTTAATTCAAAAATATGACGGACAGAATCGCGTGGTGGCTTATTTCAGTAAGAGAACTTCACCTTCCGAATGTAAATACCACTCATATGAGTTGGAGACGTTAGCCATCATTAATTCTCTGAAACACTTTCGAGTTTACCTGATCGGCATTAAATTCACCATCGTTACGGATTGCAATGCTATCAAAGCTACCGTGAATAAGAGGGAAATTCTCCCCCGGGTCGCTCGTTGGTGGACATACCTCCAAGATTTTAACTACGAGATCGTCTATCGTAAGGGATCCTCTCTTAGCCACGTAGATTTCTTTAGCCGAAATCCGGTATCTGTACTGCATGTATCTCAGCATGAACCGTGGCTTCACATTCAACAAAAGGGCGATGCCGAAGTTCAGCAAATGATTTCCGACTTGCGAGAAGGCAAACTCGATCCGAAACAATATGTTGAGAAGGACGGCTTGCTCTTTCATCAGAACATTGCTCCAAATAAATCAAAGACTATGCGTTTTTTTGTTCCACGGCAGAGCAGGCTCGGACTACTCCGACTTTTCCATGATGAGCAGTGCCACATCGGTACAGACAAGACAATCGCTTCTATCATGCAGCATTTTTGGTTTCCGCGTCTTCGTCGTTTCGTACAGAACTATGTAAAGCATTGTCTTGTGTGTGCAGTCAAAAAAACACGTACTGGTCCTTTACAAGGTTTCGTCCGGGTGCCTGAAAAGCCCTCTACACCCTTTCACATTGTGCATGTCGACTGCTTGGGGCCCCTGCCTGTCTCGTCCCAAAAATTCAAATACGTTCTCGTAATGATCGACGCGTTTACTAAGTATTGCCACCTTACTCCGTTAAAATCTGTCACTGCCGCGGAAACGCAGCAAGCTTTTCAAACCTTTATTGGTTCTTTCGGTACCCCGCGTGTTATCGTGTCCGACAGTGGCACAAATTTCCACAATCTGTCTTTGTGTAGGTTTCTAGACGACTTATGTATTGAATACCATTTTATAACTCCGGATGTGCACCGTGCCAATGGCCAAGTAGAACGTTATATGCGTACCCTTATGAATCTCATTCGTATCGAAACCCGTGTCAGATCAGAATGGCCGAACGTGCTGTGGAAGATTCAACTCGTTCTCAACACCACTGTTCAAAAGTCTACCAACACCACTCCCATGCGAGCCTTAATGGGCCTTGAGACAACGACACCTTTAATTCAGGCTGTTGTGAACAATCTTGGTCAAGATGTGACACCTGTTCGAAATTTGCAAGTAGATCGCGAACGAGTGCGAGAACGTCTTCAGACCCAGAGTCACGAGGAGATCGCCGCACTGAACACCAAGCGTCGTGACCAAGTCAGGTATTCGGTTGGTGACTTTGTACTGCTTCACCGCTCCAGTAAAATGCATGCCAGTAAAACTGATTTTGAGTACATGGGTCCTTACGAGATTGTGCACATCACAAACGAAGGAAGGTATGAACTGAAACGCGTTGGGGCCCGTAAACATAAAATTGTAAAAGCTGCCAAAGAACAGCTGAGATTGTGGCCGTCAGAATGGTCCATAGCTGCCAACATGGGCGAGATTTTGGACCTGATTGACACTGAATAAGTAAGTATTCATTGATCTTTATTACCTGAATCGAAACTATTTTGAGCTGTGACACTTCAGTAGGTGTGTTCTGACCCCCTGAGTTGTTGACGAGGAGATTGAAATACATCTCGGTGTCAAAATGTGAATTGTTGTTGACGAGGAGGTTGAAGTACATCTCGGTGTCAAAATGTGAATTGTTGTTGACGAGGAGGTTGAAATACATCTCGGTGTCAAAATGTGAATTGTTGTTGACGAGGAGGTTGAAATACATCTCGGTGTCAAAATGTGAATTGTTGTTGACGAGGAGGTTGAAATACATCTCGGTGTCAAAATGTGAATTGTTGTTGACGAGGAGGTTGAAATACATCTCGGTGTCAAAATGTGAATTGTTGTTGACGAGGAGGTTGAAATACATCTCGGTGTCAAAATGTGAATTGTTGTTGACGAGGAGGTTGAAATACATCTCGGTGTCAAAAGATAAATTACAAAAAAAAAAAGAAGGTTGAAATCTATACACTTGTCCTGAATGAGTCAATTTGAAATTGAGCTTTTTGGTATGAGAGCCCGAGTGTGCTCCCTACCATTATTGGAGTATTAATTGTTTTGTGATACTTGTTGTATCTCTAGGTATAATGAAGCCGTCACCCCTTCCAGTTCAAGAGCATCGTGGCCCTTTATTTTGGAAGCTTCGAGAGCGAAGCTTACGTCAGAATGGCCGTGTTAGCAATCAGTTCAAGAATTTGAATTTGGCGCCTTGGTGGAAGTGGTGATACTGCGAGCCGCTGCCTGTCCACGTCGCTAGAGTGTGACTCACTCGAGAATGCGCGCTGGCCTGGGATTCACCTGCCGCTCAACTATTTCGCTAATGTTTTGTTTTTTTGTTATTTTTGTGAAAATATATCGCTTAAAATATAATTAATATTACCGGTGCAGCCTACTATATTAGGTCGAACGTTGCATGAAAATGAGTCATGCTATGCCATTTTCGGTAAAAGTAACATGCATTGTTTTTTGTGTTGCCTTCGATAAATGTATGTATAATATAATAACAATAGCAAAAAGTGTTATATTGGGACCCCATTTTTCATTAACCATCAAACGTCAGATTTGAATCTGTCAGTCATTTACAAACAAAAGGTAACTTATCTTTCATTTATGACCAGTTTTTTTTCGGTTTTAATTAAATTTCTTAAGCTTTAGCACCGGAAACACAGTCGTTTTTAAATAATAATTCTTTTGGCAAGGTTAGTTTATTCTAAATTAACTAATTTTAAATTGAAAGAATGATCCTGACTTTATTCTGGGTTGTAATAATAATAATTAATAAATTCAGCCTCCAGCTTTCCGATTTTTCGAGCAAATTGTATATTAAAAAGTGTCGCTAGTAAAAACGTTTATTGGAATTTTCTTGTGCTACATAAAGCAATTCTGTAGACGACAATTTAAGAAACTTGGAGATTATATAAACATAAGTATGCATGAATTTTTATTTAAGTACTTATTATTCAGTACGAGCATAAAATAGTGAAGTATTTTTTCCTAGTCTGTTGCATTTATTTTGTTGTGAAGCAATTTACGGGTAAATGCTGCCCAGTAATTCAGTTAGAAAATCTTGTGGTCAATCTGTTAATAATGATTTATCGGTTGAAAAGCTGCGTTCAATGCCAAGGGATGTCATTGGTGCATAATTTACGATATCCGTTATTTAAATACGTTTTACTATAAAATACATTTTAGATAAATAATTTTTAAATATAAGAATGAAATTGTGATTTTTGTGTTATGAAAACAAAAATCAATTGCAATTTTTGTAAAATTGCCCAAAAATCTTCAAAACATTCTGGAATACAGATCTCAACGAGCCGATTTGAAGAATATAAAGTTTTAAGGTTTCAAAACAAAGGTAATTTTTTTTCACAATTTCATTTTCATAAAAATTTAAAAATTATTTACCGAAAGTGTTTAAAATAAAGTGCTCTGTTTAGAAAGAACAAAGTGTTGAAGTAACTCAATCATCATATTGCAAGTATACATGAAAATTTCAAAATGTTTTTGTTTTTGCAGAAAAAATATTCCATATTTTTTTCCGTTGAGTGAAATATTAACCATAATTTATCTAATCGTACCCGCCAACAAGTTAATGACGTTCTCTCATTTTTTTTAGTAAAGGCATTTAAGTTTTATTAAATAATATACCCCTAATTGTGGTTTAT